GGTCCTCTGGAACTGGAGTCAGACAGTTGTGGTTCTTGGGAATTGAACCCAAGTCCTCTAGAAGAGCGGCCAGTGCTCTTAACTGCTGAGCCATCTCTCCACCCGCCAGCACTCTATATTCTTAAATGAGTCAGCTGCTATTTGTGTGTGTGTGTGTGTGTGTGTGTGTGTGTATGAGTGTTATATATTGAACTCAGGGCCTTTCAAACACTAAAAATTTGCATCACTACACCTCTGGATTAGCAGGCATTGGGAGGAATTGAAACAACGGTGCACTATAAGCACTGACTTACACAGAACTTGAAATCTTTCTGTTTCTGTCTCCCAGGTGCTGGAGCTATAGGTGGACACCACGGTGCTCAGCTCAGCTAAGTCAACATTTTAAATTTAATGCCTAAAACCACTTTCTATAGTTTGAGTTCATTCGAAATTCCTGATTGAATTACTAAGAAGTGATGTCTCTCAGGATGTGTGACTTTCCTTCTTTAATCTATAGGTGCAATTAGAGTTTTCCCACATTAAACCACTGTAATTCTTGAAAGAAAACCTTAATTGTAGATTTTACATGGTGAATATGTATGTGATATATGAGTTCATCTAATGGATAATATATTTGTATGTAGATGAAAGTTTCTGTCTCACCTGGTCCCACAGCCATTTAGTCCCAAATAAATACACAGGGGCTTATATTAATTATAATTTTTAATATAATAGACCTGTTTGGCCTATTGCTCAGGCTTATTACTAGCTATTACAACTTAAATTAACCCATAATTCTTATCTATGTTTAGCCATGTGGCTTAGTACCTTTTTTCAGTAAGGAATTCTCATCTTGTTTCCTCTATGTCTTGCTTGCAACTGCATCTCTGCCTTACCTCTTCCCAGAATTTTCCAAGTCCTGTTGCTCTGCCTATAATTCCTGCCTGGGTATTGGCCAATCAGCATTTTATTAAACCAATACCAATGATAAATCTTTACAGTGTATAAGAGCTTTACCCCACAGCATTTCCCCTTTTTCTTTTCAAAACAAGAAGCCTGAATCTAATCTCCTTTTATTAGCTTTCTTCCTGACTATTATCCATAACAATTTGTAACTAACCCTCTAAACAAAGACAAACATCCATAATCCATTTCTTGGGAATGTGGGCAAAGTGTTCTAGGCTACTGCCTGCTGATTCGGGGTACTGATAATCTTTGGGGTACCCTGAGAAAATTTAGGATTATGGTCAAATCTTGACTGGAGTATTCTGTGAGACTGGATCATCTCAGTCAACAGCCTTGAAGCTGTTCTGGATGTAGAACTCAGAGGAAACTCCAAAAGAGGTGCTCTGAGACATTGGATCATCTGGGCCATCTGCTCCTATTGGAAATTTTTCAGGAATCTTCCTCAATCAAACCTGACTTTTTCTTAATTCAGAATAAATCCACAGTCTCTCATTTCCTATGGAAATAAAGCAGAATCTCTTTCCCAAAGTAACATTGACAGAGGTTTTGTCTGGCCCAGTCCTGTAACCATTCAGTCCCAAAGAAACACATAGAGGTCTACATGAATTATAAACTGGTTAGCCTATTAGCTCAGGCTTCTTATTAACTCTGGGATTACAGGTAACTGCTACACCTCTCTGGCTGGGTTTATACATGGCTGCTATACCTCCCTGACTAGGATTACAGGTGGCTGCTACACCTGACTGGACAGGAAATCGCTGTGTGAGGCCAGGCTGGCCTCTATCCATCCTTCGGTGATACTCCTTACCTCTGTCTGATGCTGGATTACATGTGTGCACCACCATGTGGCTGTTTTTATTCTTGCACTGTTTCTATGAGCTTAGCTACCTACTCTGTATCTGGAATGATTTCATAAAGGAACTGCCCTATTCTTTGAAGGCTTGGTAAAACTCACTGAAAAATCGTATAAGCCTGATGCTTTTTTTCGTTGGGAAGACCTTTAATTACCTAGTTATCTATAGATATTTTGTGTGTTGATATGTAGTTTCTCTGCCAATTTTGACATTTTAAATTTTCAAAAAAAACCCTATTCTCTTCATCTAGTATTATCATTAGCCCATAATTGCATGATTATATAATTAACCTAAACAGGCACCTGGATAAACTCAGCTGTCCTTCTCTAGTGTGATGATTATTCTTCTAATCTCAACTACTCAAGGGGTTGAGGCAGGAGGATGAGAGCTTAAGACCAGCCCTAGCAGCAGAGAGGCCTCCTCTCAGACAAGTATCGTCCCGTATCCATGCAGGGCACTTGCTTTTCCTCTTGATCTCATCATGTGACTTATTTCCATCTTTTCTTAGTCATCTCATTGGAGAACCACAATAAGCATTAGTCCATTAAATGTACTAAGAGAAGGCAGAAACTCAAATTGGTTCTAAGGCTGGAATTTAAAACCTGAGGTCTTGGCTAAAGAGATGGCTCAATGGTTAATGAGAGTACTGTACTTTCAGAGACTTAGGAAAATCCTAAGATGAGCCGCTCCGCTGGCGCAAAAAAATCCAATCAGACCAGATTAAAACACATC